TAAGGCAACAAGTACTCTTGTACAGGAAGATGGATCCAACCAAGCTTAAAACGCTTCTCATTTGGATCAAGCTATGGACTCTATGTCTCTCAGCCNCAACAACAACTACAAGCAACAAGTACTCTTGTACAGGAAGATGGGTCCAACCAAGCTTAAAACGCTTCTCATTTGGATCAAGCTATGGACTCTATGTCTCTCAGCCCTCAGAAAAGCAACCTGGCAGAGGTCAGAAGGGCTCATCCTTATGTTTGCTGCAGGGTGATGAATTTTTTCAGCTTCAGCAGCTCTTGAAGAGTTGTCACAGATGGGCCATGATCTGTGTTTAGTGGAGGGAGTGCCCATGCTGACAAAATTATATATCTTTGAAGTATGACAAGGAAAGGAAGTTTGCGATGTCATTTTAGAAACAGTATTATCTAACATGATTCCCATTTAAATCACAGGACCATGGATCTATGGACAAACACCTCCAAGTTCCTTTAAATCTCAACTAAAATCCCATACTTTCCCAGCCCCTTTAAATTCTGTTACTTCCTGTTGATCCTGTATATTGATTGCTTTTTATATTTGTCTGCATGTTGCCTCTGTCATTAGATTATAAGTTCCTTGAGGGCAGGTACTGGTTGTTTTTTTTTGCCTCTTTTTGTATCCCTAGCACTTAGTACAGTGCTTGGCACATAGTAGGTGCGTAATAAATGTTCATTGATTGATCGATTGCTCTAGTCTGACCTTTGGATGAAGATGAGGGTGATAGATACAGATGAGGAAACAGAGGCCCTGGTCCTCTGACTCCAGGACCTAGTTTTCAGTGGATTCAAGGAAATTTGTATACCATCATGTGATGTTGTCATCGTGGTATGTTTGCAAATGTATCCCTCTGCTCAAAGATACCCCTTTTGTCATTTCTCTTTAAGGTCGTTTGGTAGGCGCACTGGATGCAGTCCTGGATTCCAATGCACGTGTTGCCCCCTTTCGAATTTTGCTACAAGTTCCTGGATCACAAGTTTACTCTCCCATAGCATGTGGTGAGTTATTGAATGGATCAGAAGTTTACTGGGCCATAGCTATTGGTGAGTTACATACCAAAAATAAATTCCAAAAGTTAATGTCTGAGCATGCTGAGTATGCATGTCCAAGAAGCTAAAGGTAACCTCCTTTTAGAAACTGATTTGTGGGTATAAGCATATTGGCTGTTTTTTGGAGGGTGGGGATGGTTTTTTGTGTGCTTTAACCATCAAAATACCTGCTGGCCATAACTCAGGGGCATTTTAGCTTTGCCTAATGGTTCTTAGGCTTGGTGCATTTCATTGGTTCAATGAGCTTGTCTAGTGTGTTTGAGTAGGAAATAAGATGTTTGCTATCCTAACCCTATTTTATACTCACTTGTGTTCATACACATATAAACTTCTTTGGCATAGGAAGAAATTTCTTTGAGTCCTCCCCAATTCCAAAGTAAACCTTGATATCATTTTGCACTGGGCTTATAAGATTTTACTGAACCATTTGATGTGGTGTATCTGGGAATGATTGGCAGTCATTTCGTAGTAATACCTTACAGAGCAGTATGTCTCAGAAATATATGAAGATGAAGAGGCAGAAGATAATAAGTTCCTTGAGATCAAGGATTATTTTGTTTTCTTTTGCCTTTGTATTCCCAGTGCCTTGCACATAGTAGGTGCTTAGTAAATGCATGACAGATTAAATTTAATTTTCTGTTGCAATTCTTGATTTATGTGGTGGTATGAAGTAGCTAAGAATGGCGAGACTAATTATACCCTAGGACCAGTGATGCTGATTAAAGTTTTGTACTTCCTTCCTCTGTTGGTAGGTGACCATATTTTAAAAACCCTGCTCATTAGATTTTATTCTGTCCTGGGCATTAAAGTAGGAATTGTTTGATCCTAGCATTTCAAGAAGTAGGTAAATCATAGGAAGGGAATGAGAAATTGGAAGGAAATGTGGATGGTAACTAGAGCAGTGGTCTTGAGAGAAGGAAGCAGAACCAGTCTACAATAACAACTATACTGTAAAAACAAATGATATTGAAAGTTGTAAGAAGTCTGATCAAAATGTAATTACTAATCATGATTACAGGAGACTGATGATGAAATATGCTATCCTCCTACTGACAGGTGATAGACACCCAGGGTACAGAATAAGACGTATTTTTTGGATGCAGTTGATGCAGAAATTTATTTTGCTTTTCTATGCATATTTGTTATAGATGCTTTGGTTTTTCTTTTCTTTTTCCCAATAGTATTAGAGGAATGGATGTAAAGGGATAGAAAATCTGTTTTTGTTAGTTAAAAAATGGGCCAGAGTAGTATTGGCTCTTGCTTTATAAGATGATGAGGCAAAGTGTAGAAGAGGGTGAATTTAGTGTCAATGTGCAAGACCTCTACTCCAAGGGCAGTTTTATTTCTACTACCTCATTTTAGGATTTTTTTAAAAAATCAATTTCTTTTAGTTACAAAATTTCCCTGAACCCTTTATCCAGAGGCTATTCCATAGTCACAGACTGTGTTTTAGATTTGTGTTTGAGGGGTTCATCAATATATTTCAAACAATAATTTTTATGCCCAAATTAGTGTAGGAAATACCTATCTAGTCCAGACCTTTTGTTTTACAGATATAGAAACTAAGAAGCAGAGGGATTTGTGACTTGCCCAAGGTCACCCAATTAGATCTAGGATTAAAATCCAGATTCCCACCTCCCATTTCAGTGCCCTTCCATCTGCATCACTCATGTCTTATGTTTCAGTAGGTCTTGAGTGAGACATTGTCACTTTTTATATTTAGGCAGATAGCTGTCTCTTAAAACAGAACAGGGACAATGTCTCCTATATATTTCAACCTATCTGTATACACATACACTTATATTTGTTGTTGTTGTTCAGTTGTTTTTCAGTCATGTCTGACTCTTTGTGACCCCATTTGGGGTTTTCATGGCAAAGATACTGGAGTGGTTTACCATTTCCTTCTTCAGTAAGTGGTAGAGCTGGGGCTGGAATTTAATCCTGAGTTAAGATATTGTGTGTGTGTTTATGTATATATAAATATATGCAGCTAGGTGGCACAGTGGATAGGGTGCCAGGCCTGAAATCAGGAAGACTCCCTTCCTGAGCTGAAATCTGGCCTCAGACACTTACCAACTGTGTGACTCTAAGCAAGTCTCTGAGCTGTTTTGGAGCCTTTTCTGATTAATTCAACTTCTAGGCTGACAAGAACTAGGATAACAAGAAATGCAGAAATGACAGGATTCCTCTTCTCTGATGAAATCCAGCCTCCACCAACATACATACACACCAACACATATACATATACATACACACACTCACAAACTCATTCTCTTTCTTTCTCTCCTCCTCCCTCCCTTTCCCCTTCTCTCCTATTCAAGAAAAACAGAAGTAATACAATCCAGTCTCAATCCCTGCACTGATGGAGGGGAACAATTTCAAAGACAATCAAAAATGGTAAATAATTCACTCAGCTAGTTCAGGGCTATAGAGTTGTTGTTTGTGGGTACAGATAGGAAGATGGAAGGATAGATATCTATCTACATAGATTGATAAGGACTGGGACTGTCATCTACGATGTCATTGGTATAGGAAAGGCCTAGCTGAGAAAACTCCCTCCATCAGGGCAGGTAGGTAGCTTCCCCACAACTTAATAATCTTAGAAAGTTGCTTAGAGCCCTGAGGGGTTAAGTAACCTGCCCAGAGTCACCTAACCAGTGTATGTCAGTGACAGGACTTGAACTCTGGTCTTCCTGTCTTTGAAGCCAGTTCCCTATCAGATGTCTCTAAGAGACAGAGACAGAGGCAAAGAGAGAGGGAGATACATACATACATATACATACATACATACATACATATATACATATCTACATCCATACCCTAGATAAATCACTTAATCTCTCAGTGCTTAAGAAAACTCTCTAAGACT